ATCCTGCTTGGCTGCTTAAGAAGCACTAATGATACATTTGCTCCAGTTACTCACGTAGATCATCTCCATAAGGAATAATGGGGAGTTAGATAAATAGAGCATTGGAACTACCAGCTGTCCATGTGACAGTCCTGTCACCAGCCCGGTGCTAAGCCTAGGAGTGTTCAGGGCATGGTAATCTGCCTTATCTTAAAAGAAGTGTAACTTAAATGATTTTATTATCATCTGCAAGCAGCAACCAGGAGACTAATTTGCTTGTTTGTCAATAATTTTCAGTTATGTTGTTTAGAAAAGGCTGACTGTAAACACAGAATGACAGGACGGGCTCAGACAAAAGGCTTGTGAGTCTGTCTCCAACAGTAGCCAGCTCCCACTCCAGCCATTAAAATACATTGATTTGCATGGAAAAAAAGGACTTCACATTCAAGCTGTCATTCTTTCATTATTTTTCTACTATATAGAGGGAATATATGCTACATCATATTTATTTAGATTCCTATTTGCCAGCATTTTTTATTAAGCTAAAAAATAACACTTTTGAAAGGCAGATTAAAATACAAAAAATGTGGTACAGAGATTTTTTGGGGGTAATTACAATAAATACCCTAACGTTCCAAGCACTCCAGTTACTCGAATAGCTGGTGTCCAGTTACTTATGGAATGAATCATAGAATGGTTTGGGTTGGAAGGGACCTTAAATACCACTTAGTTCCAACCGCCCTGCCATGGGCAAGGACACCTTCCACTAGATCAGGTTGCTCCAAGCCCCATCCTTGAACACTTCCAGGGATGGGGCAGCCACAGCTTCTCTGGGCAAACTGTGCCAGTGCCTCACCACCCTCATAGTGAGCAATTTCTTCCTAAAATCTAATCTAAACCTGTCCTCTGTCAGTTTAAAGACATTCCCTCTTATTCTATGACTCCATGCCCTTGTAAAAAGCCCCTCTCCAGCTCTCTTGTAGCCACCTTTAGGTACTGGATAGCTACTTAAATCCTTCAACATTTAAGAATTATTGATTCAGACCCAAGGTCTATTTCTGAAAAACAAAACTTCAAGAAACTAATCAGGACATGAAAAATGTACAATGTACAGTGAACTAGCCAAAGGGGAAAAAATAAAGATTGACCTTTTCTGCACCTACAGGAGAAACTGCTGCTGACAAAAGTTGTTTTAATTTAAATAACACTCATGGTCAATTTTATCAGATATAGGTGCAGATCTCGCTGTATCCTCCCATGGCATCTCATACAGTTAATGCAGCATCTTCTCCGCTGGCTTTGATAAGTTTAACCTCCCCAGTCTCAGATGTGCTCAGAATACTCTTACCATTCCAGGTGAATGGTCCTATCCTTCCTCCCAGCCTGCCCCTCTGACCCAGAGGACCTTTCTCTGTTCTACATCTCCAGCTGCTCTGAAATTTTCTGAACGGTCTTATTTATGCTTAAATTTTTGCCACCAAGATCCTTCAGGGACTACTGTCATGCCACATACCACACAGAACTGAAAAGTATTTCCCCTCTAAGCAGACCCATTATCACTGGGTTTTGCCTTCTGCCTACCATCTGCAAACAACCACTTTCACACATTCACCCAAGCTACTGCTCGTAGAAGACATGCCCCAGGTTTATGTGCATCTTTTTCTTGTTGATTTAAGTATCTTCCCTTAATACCTTTCTAATCTTAGTGTACTTAGAAACACTGAAAACAGCCAGGTTACTGCTTCATTAGTTCCTTATGTGCTACCTTTGTTGTAAATACTGCCCAGCTTCATAACAATACAAGTATGTGTGTGTTCCTAGTTCAAGTCAAATTTGTATGATGATTTGCTAGTCAACAGGTTCACTATTAACAATTGTCCAGCAATGGTTATAGGCATGTAATTAATAATATAAATTCATATTAAACAACTAATTACATTAAATAATGCTAAACAACTAGTACTAAATGTACCATACACACAAAAAAAGGTCCCTTTTGCTCGTAATCCTTCATCTGACAGTTGTCTTGTATTGATGTCTGATGTGTTGATTAGGGTAGAACGAAAGCAGGACAGACATATATAGTAGTATCCCAGCTTCTGAATAACTGCAGCTTAAGGACATCCTGAATCAGACAACATTGTGTGTTTTTCTAATTTCTATCAGTGATCTCTCCTCTGCATGTGGCCAGTGTCCCTTGGAATGCAAGGGAGTGTAAAGTTCTGGCATCTGCAGCTTCCTTTGCAAAGAGTTCCTTGGGTCTGCCAGCCTCCAGTGTGGAGAGCTGCCTCCTGGATTTAGGTGGAAGCCTTCTACCAACTTCATACAACACCCTGTAGATCTGGCAGTGGCAGAGGCAATGAACAGTGAACCCTGACCTCTCTTCATGCCACACATAATTTTGAAGATTTCTATAATTTCTCCCTTCAGGCACTTTCTGAGGCAGATGACAGGCATTTCTGACAGCTGAGGACAGCAAGCTCAGTAGTTCTTCACCCAGAAGCTGTTTGAGGCCTTTGATGATCCTTTTGGCCCTTCTCTTGCACTTTCCAGTTCTGCTAAATATTTTTGATCAGAACTACAGAGAGTACTCAAGACAACAGCAAACAGCAGCTTTATGCAGCATACTAAGGCTCTGTGGTTGGCTTTCTGTTCACTTCCTAATAATTCCTAGTGTTTGATTTGCTTTCTGACCACTGAACAACAAGCTAATGCTTTTACAGAACTACTACCTATAGCTCCAAGATCTTGCTCCTAAGGGGTAATAGCTAGCTTGGTCTTAAAAAAGGAAAATATTTTTCTTTTCACATTCAAAATCCCACAAAAGCCTCAGAAACATGTCTAAAATGACACTGTTTACTAAGGAAGTGATTTCTTATTATCATTTAAAAAGAGTATGGAATTAAAAATGGAGTGAAAAGCTTTTAATCTTTTTAGGGAGGACAAATCTAGGAATGTCAGCCACTGTTTTTATCAGTTTTAACCATGTTTAAACATCCACGTTAACTTATTCTGAGAGCAAACTACCCACAACAACATTCTGATATGACAGCATTCACAGCCACTCCACAGCCCACACAATTATAAGAGGAGGAGTGTAGGCAGAAGAGCACAAAGAACAGTTTCACTATCATGTATTCTTTCAAACATCACTCAAATCACTTTCATTTGTGTCTTCTTTGTTTTGCCCTCCCTCTGAAATCTTCTGAAAGTAGTGGAATGATCCTTCTCAAAGAGAGATGTTGGTAAAACTCAAACATGCCAGCCACTTAAATGCACACAAGCAGAACAGTGCTTTCAAAGTCATGTAGCTTGAAAATATAAATATGTTCAAGTGCTCTCTTGAATTAAGACCCCACAGGCAATTTACAGCCTTGGTTCCTGCAGCTCACTGCAGTTTTACTTCAAACCACTTGAGCTCAGCCACACAATAACAACAAAAGTTTTGAAATGTGATCTACCCAGAAACAAACCCAGTCTGTTCTATTTATCCAGGATGGAGATGAAAAATGCTAGTTAAAACAGGTAAGACCTTTCTTACAGAGCCTTTCCAACTCACTTGAAAGTATATGTGTACGTATATTTAACTCAGAATTTTTCAAATCTGTTTGACTGTGATGAGAGCAGAGCTGAGGCAGTACAAGAGGGTAAAGGAGGAAGGAAAGAGGGTATCCACGCTATGAGGCTATTTTCCTTAGGTTGTTTATACAGGTCTTGGTGACAGACAGGCTCCAACAAAAGCCAGGGCCAATGAAAGAAAAATCTTTTAATAAGTTAATTTTTTTTTTTGAGAACAAGTCAAGGTTACACAAGTCTTCCATTAAAAAAATTCTGCAAAAGCTAAAGAATAAGTAACACCAGTCATAATCTGAGATGTACTGAAACGTTCTTAGACAAAATCCAAGAGCAAAAAGACAGAAAGAAAGCTTCCTTCAATACCGTAGATGACTAGAAATGGTGACCACTTTCAAGCATGCAATTCAGGTTAAATAATATATTGCAGTCACCAGATGGGTCACCTACAAAAGGAAAGTAGGGTCAATCTGTCAACTCTCTCTGAGTGGTGTCGCTGACATAGTTATTATTGGCAAATCAAAGCATGTTGACAAGATAAGAAGCAGGTGGCAAGGTTCGTGTTATTGTTTCATCTGGAAATGAGACACTAATAGAAACTCAAAATACAGTATTTTTTTTCATAACATTTCCGGAGGAACAGAGTTTACTTCGAGAGATAAAAACTGAAATTATTTCAGGTTGCTGGATTAGGATAAAAGGTCTATAAAAGACTTCTCTATTCTGACAAGCCTACCCTTTTTTTTTTTTTTTAATTAACTCCTAAGAAAGATAAAATCTGAAGAGAAACCACCCCTTGCATTTCTATGGCTTGAAATTCTCTCCAAAATGTAAGCTGATTGTACCATTAGGAATGCACGGCTTTGTGTAAAAATATAAAGTTGAAGGTAACACTACATGCAGCTCACAAACTAAAAAAGCAGAGAAATCATAAAGGACATATAAAGCAAAAAAGTCAGATAGAGCCTTCCTGAGTTTATTCCTTAAAGGCACAGCAGAAATTTCTATTTTGTGCCAATAATGTCGCATAAAAAATTTCAATATGCTCTTAGAACATGGGATTAAAAAAAATTACGTAAAAGATAATTTTCTTTATCTGAAACATCTGTGTGTGGTAACAGATATAAATCTGTGATGCAACTGATTTGCCCTAGAACAGTTCTTGAAGTCTCCGTGTGGTTTTTACTTCTCTTAAAAAATAAGCCCGTTACTTCCATCATTAAAAATCCCAGGCATTTAGTTTTGCTTTTCCAAAAATCAGTATTATTTTTCCTTTTGAAAAAATATCCTCATGTGATAACAAATAAAACACAGCATCCCTTTTAATTGCGAAACAAGTAATTGCTGATGCGATTCCTTCAAGATAACTGTAAAAAAAAAAGGCATATAATTACAGAAACCTTGGTAAACAAGGTTTACCTGGAGTAAACATCCAGCTGTTTACTCACCCATTTCTTGTCTGGTACTGCAGACTCCCGTCCCATACTTTTCTAACTCTATGGTCACAGTTTTCAAAGCATTAACATCTGTTTCTGCGAAGCCGAGGTAGTTATAAGAACCCATATTGATTACATTCTTGATAGTCCTTCCTGTAAACCTAGAATTAAAGCAAATTTTAAACAATAGTGCAACTTCCCCTCCAACAACAAGTGAAAAGAAAAAAATCCCAAAATTTTTCCACCAAATTTTGTTCTATTTGGGAACTTATAGTCCTCTAACAACCCAAAGGTTTTTTACAGCCTTTCTCTTTTTTCTGGCTAAATACTCTTTCCTGGTCAGAATGTTTTCTAGAAGCCAAGCTGTAGATGGCAATATAGTGGTTATTAGGTGAAAGGCTGCTTTTGTGGATTTAAAGAAATAAACCAACCTAAAACTTCATTTAAGGAACAACTTTGAGACGCTAATTTTTCAAGCAAAATGTCAACAGCTTCCACAAAGTCTTCAGTGTTCTCATACAGACAGAGAAATTAAACATGATGAAAATGTTGTGGGAAACACTAAGATACATTCTCACTAAACTGAAAAATAGCCAACCTACACATTGTCTACGCTCTGAATTCCCACAGCTGTTTAATTCAGTTGTGATACACTGAAATCTTCAAGCTGTAATCTGCTTAAAACCCGCTCCCAAAGACTCACTGTGAAAGCAAGAATCCACATTCACGCAATGCAAGAGATTGTGATTTAAATCCTAACCATGGGACACAAGAAATTTTGTTGTAATATTCTGAGTAAAGGTCTATCGTTAGAAATGAAGCATCAGCAGTTTTACTTGTGCTGACACAGCCAAACAAACCCATTTGTGATTGACTTGGAAATCCATACTGCGTTTCCAAACAATTCCAGAGGAAAAGGGTCAGATTGTCAGCAACTTGCAGATGTACCAGGAGTATTCTTTTGAAGCTGAGAGGTGCAGAGTGTAAGATGACTCACCTAAATGTCCAGTTGTAATCATCTGTAACACGTTCCATGAGGTCAAACTGTGGCCCAGGGACACTGCAAATTGGCCGGTTCCAGTTATCCCGTATTCTCATATAGAGGTTTCTGGTGTAAAAGTTCTCAAAATCTTGATAAAGTGGCACAAAATCCTGGTTTGAAAACATGCACAGGGTTATGTTGCTGGGAAAATGTCTGCTTCTGTACCCAAGTCATTCCCATTAACAAGGAAAAAAGGATTCATTAGTAAATAGAGAGCTGTAACAGTCACATATTCCTATGTCACACACAACTCCAAAAATCAAGTATCTTACTTTAATTCTTTTGAAACACAGTGTTGGATTTTTTAAGTGGTGGAGTTTTTTGTTGGTTTTTGTTTGTCTGCTTGTGTTTTTAGATTGGGTTCTTTTTTTTCTATGAGGAGGTGTCAACTGCTTGTTTTTTTTTAAATGGTCAACAAGTTGGTTTAACTCTCCATTTGTATCTTGAAAGTTGGAAATGGAAAAATTAAAGATTCTTTCACTTGGAGAAACCAACTGCTTCAAATTCAGCATCTTGCTATGTGTGGAGCAGACTGAAAACTAAGATAAACAACTCATTACATTTCAAGAAATGCTGGATACATTAGATAAAAGCTACTGCAGTGTAAGTGATCTGGGCATTGCTGGCCTAGACTAGACATGCAAACAGCCAGTTAATACAACTGGTTTGGTTGACAATTTCTATTTATGGATTTTACTTGGAAATTAAATTTAAAAAATGTAAGGTATCTAAACAAAGTTTTATATGAAACAGGAATATATCCATGTTGGACACTGGATACAATAAACTGCTAAAATAACACGGCACATAGTTGACATACACAGGAGAATTAAATGAAGATGTAATCCATGCTGAAGGACAAGAAAATTTAACTGGCACAACTGGCATCAACAAGTGGTCAAACCATGCAGTGAATTGAAAATGATATTCATTAAGCTGTGTGTTCAGCTTTGGAAAGATAAATCAGGAAACAATTTCAGAATTTTATTTGTAAGGGGAACAGTAACACTATTCCCATTTTCCCTTCATTTTGCCAGGTGTTACTGTAAATGATGACTCAAACTGCACAGAGAAAGAGGAGCAACCAAAAATTCTAAACAAAGTTGGAAGGCACTTGAGCTTGCTAAGGTGCAAGTTTCACTTAGAACTATGTGGGATGAAAAAATTTCTAAGTCAGGACTTGCAAGAATTCAGGCTACATTCACTTTGTGCCAGGACATGATTCCCGAGTGCTCTGTGAGCAGCAGTTCAGGAAACATAAGCCAGCAATTACAAAAATCACTGCCTGTGGATGTGAAGGCAGCCAGGTGGGACAAAGGAAGATCGGGGTTTAAGAGGTTTGACAAGATGATATATTTAACAATAAGGCATTCCTGAGTTTTCTTGTGTCGTGGATCAACTTAAGTGCACCTCTATTTCGCTGAGAGTATTATAACACTCTTGGAACAACATGAACATCTCTCTGGGTAAAAATCATGATTTTACCTATATATACAGGTACATAAGAGTACAGGTGCATATAACTCTACTGCAGTGTGAGTCATTCCCCTCATCCTTATGCAATGCTCTCTGAGATGAAAGGTGTATTCCTTGTTAGTTCGACAGGTTGCTGTAAATCACTTGCAAGCAGGGGAAAACTCAGCTGTGGATACATAACGTCTTTTTCATACATACTTTTTGTTGTTCTCTCTCTTCAGCAATGTTACGTTTTTCTAGTCCCCAGGCTCTCATAAAATCTCGCAGGTAGCCAAATATTGTTCCCACTGCAAAACCCACGACAGTAAAAACTGCAACATACATTGGTGCCTGTTCAAAGTGCTCAATAAATGTCTTTTTGTAGAGAGTTCCGTTTGACACGCCATTCTTCTGAAAATACAGAACAGAAACTTGTGATTAATACATTTCATCTATTCAAAGCTTACACCTTAGACCTGGAGGCAAATCATCTTCTCTAATTAGCAGAGACATTCAGACCTCACACTGTACCAGCTGAAGAGAACCTTTAACACTGCAGTTGCTACTGACCACTACAAATATCTTCCATTTTCTCACCTCTCCACCAATGTCCTCAATTGCAGGTGTCTCCAACACCACTCCCTTGTCTATTTTGAAACACGTGAAACTTATGAAGGATTGGCAATGTATTATTGTGTAATTGGACAATTATTTCAAAGGTGATTAAAGGGAAACCACAATACTCTGTCTTGCAAGGCAGAGCAATAAAAAGGGAAGGGCAGAATTAAAAACTCACCTACACTGTTCCTGACTGCTTCTGGAAGTCTTGTGCAACCCATTGCAGCAACTAACCTATATACAACAAAATTCAGCCTAAAATAGGGCAGCTTTACCATGATGTTCCTCAGATCTGAGGAAGTATCCAAAACCATTACAATACCAGCCTTCCATTTCTGTTCTGATTTCACAAATGCTTTTAATCCCATTTTCAGTGATATCTCCCTCTTTTAAGGGTACTTAAAAACAAAATAAAGAAGAGTAAAAGAAAAGAAAACAAAACAAAACAAAAGATAAAAAAGGAAGAGACACACAGACACCCTTGATTGTTGGAATTAGTGAGCCCATTGTAAGCAAATTCTAAATATTGACAACAGTGTATGGACAAAATATTTTGTCATGAAAATATTCTAAAATTTTAATTCTCAAATTAAAGAAGCTAAGTTTTCCAGTTGCAGTCTTCTCAAACCAACTCATATTGAGTTGGCTCATCAGCTTATTCTTTGAAAGAGAGGTAACTCCCTTATTTCTGCAAAAATACAGTTACTGTCTAGTAACATCCAACCTGCCAATTCAAAAATAACAAAACATAATCCAGAAAAAATAGTTCCCTCTGTTTAACCAAAAAAAAAAAAAAATAGTAAAAAAATCCAGGAGTAAATAGATTTTTGAGAATATTCTATAGCAAACTACCCACATACACACCAAACCCCTACTTAACACTAACCATTCCTCCTTTCTTCTTTTTTGAGGGATGAACTAAAAAAAGTAGATTGTCTAGGTACATAATGTAGCAAGCTGAAATAGAATATTCATATTAAAAACAACTGTCAATTCAGTATACTTGTAAGATAGAGTATTATGGATCCTCATATTGCATTAAAATGTCTTCATCTTCAAAGGATTTTGATTTCGGTTTTATGTTGCTGTCCAATTCTGGATTCATGAAGATTTTTTGGGAGAGAGAGAAATAAAAAAAAATTAAAAAAAAGAAAAAATAGAAAAAGAAAAAAAAGGAGGGAAAAAAGGGGTGTTGGGCACAAGAGAGAATATAAAGCCTTTGGAGGAAACTCAAAAAGGAAAAAAAGTGCTGGTAGGGCTGAACAGAACCCCATTTAGACTTTGGAAAGACTTATTGCAATGCAAGAGAAGGAATGCAGGGCTGGCTCTCCCCATGTGAGGGTAGACCTTTGAAGTAATGTTACACATGCACTCCTACCTCAAGCAAATTGCTCTTTTAGGGCAACCTATTTACCATGAAAAACATTTTATGAGGATGAGTTAAATACATGGTCAAGTCAAATTTCACAAGAGTCACAACAGCTTTGTGCACACAGCGATCAGATAAAGTAAATATTTCAGGATTAAGGATTAAGCTCAGTCATATTACCTTACATCTGCCACAAGCTAAGAGGATATTTATGTCACCTATGGAAATTCAATTGGCATTGTAGCTTGATGTGCTTGATTCAACTGGCATCAAGATGTGATGACACCTGAGCCCAGAGGAGAGAATGATGTTGTTTCTGTTTATCAATTTTATTAAGAAACACTTTATTGCTGTATATCTTATTGGCAAAGGAACAGGGGAGCTCATATCAAACTTGTGCACTGCAACACTCTTCTTCCACAATAAAACTCTCCTGTTGTGGAATTCTTATTTCAGCTGCTGCCATTTTATACAGTCAGTATGACATACATATTTAAACTTGCTATCACCTGCTATCCTCAATACAAACATCTAGTAGTAAATGACATCCATGGTAATAAAGTACTAAGAATGCACAGTAGGATGTGATCCACATTCTCCAGTCTATGAATGATGAAAACCAAGAGTCTTCAAACAGCCCAAGGTTGGGAGAACAAATTCAAAAAATACAGTGACATTTTGTCTAAAAACTTAAGCGAGGAAACCAAAGGGTATTTCCTCCATTCTTAGAGTTCCACAAAAAAGTAGAGAAAGAGTCTCATATTAGGAATAAGCAAAACAAGTGGATTTGCTGCTTTTAGAAAGTGGCAGTGGGGGTGTTTTTGTGCAGCAATTAAAATCCAAGCACAGGGTAGGGGTGACTGACTGAACATCATAAGGAAGTTCAGCACTTCCAGCCAGCCTAAACAGTCAGAGGATGAATGGTTAGTTGGCATTTTGTGCTACATTACTGTTGACTTTTTATATGTTATCATAAAGTTTAATTGGAGAAGAAAGAGGTGGATTTGGAGACTGCATTTAAAGCATGTGGACAGTGAAGATAGATGTTATTCAGGTGTTGCTGGCACTGAAATAAAATACAGCAGATTTCCTCCAAATGCCTGAAACGATTCAAAGATCATTAGTTACACTATTACACATCAGGTTCTTTGCTGACCTGTGCTCTCCAAGTATATTATTATCTATAATAACATCTGCAGTAGACAGTACACTTTCCAGCTCCATATCTTCAACTGTAGCAATTGATTAAGTAAGGATTCTAAAAAAAAATATATTCTTCCAATTTCCAGCAATTGCTGGCTTTGAGATTTTATAGGTCAGATTGTGCTATCATGTTTAATAGTCATCAGGGGATAATTATGAATGTGTTCTTCATTTTTGAACCTACAAATGCTGGGAAAATGAATTGCAACTTTTGCTAATTGATTTAATCTGTAGAAAATGTGTTTTCTTTTATATAATAATAAAAAATAATACCTGATAGTGTCACGACAATTTACTTTGACCATTGTTATCCCTTCAGCTTTCCTATTCAGCCAATTACACAACTCATAATTTTCTGTACTTAAATAAATTCTGCCTCTCCACTTGTGCCTTCCCAAACTAGAATAATCTTAATCTGTATAATTCTCGTCCAGTCTCCCTGTCCTAGCATGGATTTAAATCCAAAAAGAACAAATAAAAAAATTGATATTTTAAAAATTTCTCTTCACTCTGCAAAGTTCAATAAAACCTTTTTGAGATGCAGAGGAAGTGAATTAAAATTGCATACACACTTGAGGACACAATATGGATTTATACATCTGCAAATACCGCTTTATCTTCTTTTCTGTTGCTTTTTAAAGACTCTTAACATTCTGTTTGCCTTCTTTCCACAGTTCACAGTTTCACAACATCTCTTATGATTACATATATCCTTTCTCAGTTGCAAAAATACCTTATTTAGAGCACACTGCTATTTGTGCATTCTTAGGACCATTTTCCCCTCCAATTAAGTAATTGTTTTTTATTTAGTGACCTGCAACTTTGTCTACTGCTTTATCAACATTACACACTACCAATGAGAAAGTTCTGTCGTGTTTTTCTTGTTTAGGCCTGTTTTTTTACTAACCTGAAGAATTCTGTATTGTCAACATAATATTTTGTCACCTATTTCTCCTCATCTATTTTTCCAGACCATTGGTGAAAACAGGAGAGAGCACAGGTCCAGTAAGTGATCCCTGGGGGACTCTGTTCCCTGCATCTCCCAGATCACCTTTTCAAAAATCATTTATTTGTAACCCCCAATTTCTCTGGCAAAAAGGCCAAGTTAAGCAGCAGCCCAGTTACTCAGCAATTTCATGTTTGGCTTCCTTTAAAAATCTTGAGGAAATACCCTTTGCATACCCTAATCCACATTTTATTGGCTTGTTTTAAAAATTCTGCTGGCATCCCATATCAAACCAGTTTCTCAGTAGCCTGTCACCAGTTTCTCAGTAGCCTGTCATAGAGTAAGAATGTTTTCCAAGCAGGGAATCTCTGGGTGCAGCATAAAGAGACCCAAATGCAGGAAGGCTATAGATGAAATTCAATCAAATGGATGTTTTGCCACGGAATTTGACAAATACAGGATTTCATTGACTTCTTGGAAGCCAAAAGCACAATCAGGGTATGCAACTTTGGTGTGTTGAGTCTCTGCTTAACTGGTTTCCCATAAGACACTGCAACAAGGGAATTTCTGGGCAAGATTTTGATGCCAAGGAAGTCAACAGGAGTGATGCCAACGCAGCAAAGTCAGCCTGAAGTGCAGCACCTCTTAGATTCCCATGTGCTGTAGCTACCCAAAGTATTTTGAAACTCTCTCATAATAAAGAACTCTTTCCTAAATGCTTTCAATTTTTTAAAATGGAGAAATTAACTCTGACAACAAATCTAACAGTGCTATTGGAATGGTCACCAGTATAAAATACTGAATATAATGGACATGCAATCTTGATTGAAATAGCTTGCTCTAACAATAATGTAAGATAATCTTGAAGTCTATTAAGCAATATCATTTTAAGAAATAGTTACAAAATATATTTACATTGGCAAAGAATAATAATAGGATAGCTATGCAATAGCACGAACAATACTTAAACATTTGTTCACGCTACCCTTACAGTTAGGAGATACTTTTTCATTGCATTTAGGTCCTGCAGCCTCTGGAATTGTGCTATTTGGCATGAGCCAGATTTGCATCAAGAGGAGAGTGAAGAATTGAACAGCACAGACATAGTGTACAGTACCAAACCTGTCTGCTGGCCCAGATTAATTTACCAGTAAAGAGGTAATCACTTATGCTGGCACAAGTTATGAGTAAACCTATGTGAATGGAGTTGCATCAAGGAAACTGAGACCCAAGAACTTGTGTTTTTATGCAAATCTTTCTGTAGAGACAACAAGC